TTTCTAGTACCCCCAATAGTCATCCCTAACCTTTATATTATCATAGACGCCCCGAACCTTTACTCTAAGCTACCTTTCGGAAGTGATGTCATACATGTCTATGTCTCTACATGATTGAGGTGGAAAGAAATATTAATAACATGATATTATGAAAAATATTAAAGCGTTAATGAAGGTGAATTCCCAATTTTCGATAACTAGCCATACCCCAAAATCTGAAAAGTTCCTTTTTGTTTTGGGGAACTTGAAATTTTGAAATAGCTTCCACCTTTGTCTGAATGGGCTGAACCTGACCTTGGCCTATGACATCGCTAAAAATTGTACATGTGCCTGTGCAAATTCACTTTCACTAAATTTACAGTCATCTTGGCTTCTGTGATCGAGGCTCTCGGAGAAGGTTGGACCTTTTTCAGGTCCCACTCCATAGTACGAGAGAGGACATCATTGATGTAGGCCTCGACACCTTCAAGATTGACTGAAATGTCATTGATGAGACGCTGGAAGGTGTCTGGAGTTTTAAGAGCCCAAATGGCACAACTTTGTAAGGGGTTAACTTTACTGACACAGAATTTCTGTTGTTCATAACAGTAATTATATTGGACATCTATTTTAAGCGTCATGGCAACTGAATTGAATTGAAAAGAAGCTATGACAGTGAATGGGCCAACAAGCAACTCAGAAATACTTATTACCTGTCTAGTCTGAATTAAGATTTGTAATTTCTGAACGTTGGCAAGGAACTGTCAACATTAATTCACACGGGACAAATAAGCTAAAAAAAATAATAGTCTTTATTCTCAGGCTCTGCCTGCATCGTCATAAAGTCCGCCGCAAGTTTCGTTTTTATTTCCATTTAAAAAAAATAAATCTTTAAATATTCACGAACACACGATCCTGGCAGTGAAAATGCTACAAAACTTAAGAACATGATTTCGCCAAAATTATTTTTTAAAAATTGGGTTACGTACTAGCTTGAACAACCAAATAATAAATAACCACCGCCCACCTGTACTATATTTTCAAAAGCCATTGCCTGAGAACCAGTTCTTTTATTTTAAGCCTTATCCATCATTCTGAGTTCCAAGTAGGCTATTTTGTATATTTCAACCAGTCTTTTTCTCAGAGTGTAGACATGACCTCTGAGTGCCTATTGTTGAAGAGAGGTGAACTCTGCACAATGAATTGGGGAGCCTTGGACGAATGGGACACCGTGCCCCCACCTTTGTGACGTCTTGAACAGTGGATGACCTCATCTTCAATTGTTTGCTACAATGAGTTGATTTGTCATAGGCCTCTTCACAAAAAAGCGAAACAATTGGAATGAAGTAGCCAATCAGCATGAAGAATACACAACAGTCAGTGAGAATTACTGAACAGAACTTAACCTATATCCATGCCCCATTGGATAATACTGGAGATACAAAACATTGATTACCTAGGATGATATATCATTCCTGACTTCTGTGTATCATTATTTCATGTCTACTTTGAGTGAGTGAGTTGGGTTTAATGTCGCTTTGACCAGCATTCCAGTTATAACAACATCAGCTTAAATGTGGGCGGAAAGCCCAAAGTGATGCAGGTCTCAGACGTTTACCACTTCGGTGAAACCCACGAGCATCGGTATAGTGCTGACAAACCTAGAAACATAATTGGGGCAAACCGGGATTTGAACCCATGACCATAGGATTCTGGCGTGCCCAAGGGAGGCAACTCTGCGCAGCAAACCCACGCCCTCAACCAAGAAGGAACACAAATCCTTCAAAGAATCAATTTTGGTTTCATACTTATCAAACAGTAGTACAAACAAAAAGTTATTTTGACATTTTATTTTCATAGATTTATAGATCAACATATACAAAAATCCATATTTACAAAACTAATTAAAATCACATCTTGCGTGGTGTTGTGTGAACAGATATATAACAATTTCTCCACAAGTCTAGGACACCACTCACATTGCTTCCCCAAGCTTAAAACAGTAACTTCTAAAACTGACTAGAACATATTACATACAATACACACATCCAGTGTCCTACATCATACGTAAAAAGTCTTTGTTTAATACAGTACTCTCTAAAAGAGCTTCGGGGAAGGGAAGGGAAGGGAAGGGAAGGGGTTGACAGTTCTGCTTGTACACTAGACAAATGTCCATTGCCATTAATTGGAACAAGTACGGTATCTTAAAATCTGATTCTGACGTGACAACCTCGGAAATGCTTGACAGCTCACACATGCAATATATACTACTCAAAAGAAGTTAAGAACCACCAGTTCTTTCATATTACCGTATTCGACGTAATAAGCGACCAGGGCGCTCTCAAAATTAGGAATAGAGGGCTCTTATTTGAATATTATTTTGGTTGAAAGATAAATTTCGTGGTTTATGCTGACAACCTGAAATGTTTATGTACGGCAGATATATTTTTCCAGAATTAAATTGCCCATAATTAAGGGTGCATATAACACACGAGTGCGTATCATACGCGAATAAATAAGTCTTGGCTACATTGATCAGTTGGAAGGGGTGCTAATTGGGATTGTTCACTTGCCAATATATGATCAAATATTGCCCTGGGCGCTTATTAAAGCGGGGCGCTTATTACGTCGAATACGGTAATAAAGTTAATCTGTCATGGCATGACAAATTAACTACAGTATTAGGAAAGTCGGATGGTCCTTAACTTCTTTTGAGTAGTATAGGACCAAAATATCTGAAAATGTTTACAGTTGTTTAGTAAATTGTCTTAGGGACCAGTGATGTTTCTTTAGCAGTGATCATGTTGCCAGTCTGAAATTTAGATTATAATTTGTCAAACCCCAAAGAAGGGCTATTTTCAAACTAAAATATATGTCATAAATATTGATAAAACATATTTATGTGATTTTTGTGAGGATAAAAAGATTGCAGGATATCTGTGCATCTGATAAAATTGCATGAACATGAACGTGTCCTTGTCTCGTGGGTCAAGAACTCTAATGTCACTCTCAGACAGGTGCTTGTCTACGTAGGTGTTTGTGAGTGACAATTCCAGGCAAGATGTATACCTGTTACATTATCTGAAGACGCTTGCTTCAAAAAAGATGTGATGTTTTTAAAAGATGATTTCACTTGTATATATATCCTTGTAAGAAATCTTTTTTGAACCCAACAATTTTCACTGTAGTAACAGTTTTGATGTGGTAATTAACAAACATGATAATATAAACAACCAAATGAGCCTACGAGGAAAGCACTATATCCTATCATTGTCATTCCTTGAAGAAAATACAACCAGTAAATAACTTCATCAACATCCTTCCAAATTGCACTTAACATCAGAATAACTCGACATAACATTTAATGATACAAGTTCATTACCTACAGTTAAACGCATGCTGTTTTCAAACTCCCAGTTGTATAGTGGCAGATCACAGTGTAAAAACTAAACAAATAGTGAGTGAGTATGATTTTACGCCGCTTTTAGCAATATTCCAGCAACATCACGGCGGGGGACACCTGAAATCGGCTTCCCACATTGTACCCATGTCGGGAATCGAACCCGGGTCTTCAGCGTGACGAGCGAACGCTTTAACCACTAGGCTACCAGACCGCCTCACTAAACAAATAAATAGATCTGCATCCTTACAAATATGTACAGATTATAACGACCATCTACAAAGATGGATGTAACGCTAAGATACTCCGTCTTATCATCATTACAAAAAATAATTGCCACCAGTCCAGGGCCATTTTATTTCTTGTCCTGTTTGTTATTAGATGCAAAACGAAACATGTAATTCCGGTTAACATACAGTGGGACTGACAGAATGGAATATAGAAACTATTGGTTGTTCATTATAGTACCTACATTAACCAAATTTAACACAAAACTAGTAACAAGTACAATCTTAAAAACATACATTCAACCAAACACACTTAATTTTGTTTTTAGATTTACACAAGAATTAAAATGGCCTGGCCGAGAACGATGTAAATGATGCAGCACTGTAATGTAATAATGTTTGTATCAATCGAGTCTATAACAACTACCGTATTCAATGTATTAAGCGCTTTCTGAGCGACTTCTACACCCATCTGTAAGTACGGTAATCCATATTAGTTAGCACCATGTACTAAGTCCGAACATATACATGAAGTCTATATTTGCTTGTGTATATTACAGAATTATTACAGAAAACATGGCAGGTGGAATGGGCATATTACTGCGTAGTGACTATCATCAAATTTTTGTAAAGTTTTGTAAAGACTTTTGAACTGAGTTTGTTCTCCACTGATAAAATCTGAGGACAATTTTAACTTGTGTATGGTATTAATAAGTGCACACCTTTGTCAATCTCTAAGCAATCAGGGCGCTTATTACATTGAGTATGGTACTCCTAGCATCAGACTAAGAGTCCTTACCCCTTCCGATGTAAAATATGGGCTTCAAACAGAAACATTTCTTTAAATATTATTGAAAAATACTTGTACATTGTCCTACCTATCTCACAATTCAAAATTTTAGAAATAAGAATAGGAAAAAATGTTATTTTTACCATTATTTGTTATAATACAGATATTCACACAGGCTAAATACCTACTCCATGAAAACAGTTTGAAGAACATATAACCCCCCAAAAATGTTTGTAAAATTTTAAATTTTTTTACATTTCAAATTGAATAATAATGTCGTATATTTCTGAACACTGGAAAATACTTGGGAACTGACAAACCCCTGTCGTATAATATCAAATTTCTGAACATACCGTATATTTCACAAGTGTATTATGTTGAAATGAAAGCCACCCAGTATTTACTTTTTATCAAAAAATGTTTTGTCCATTTTAGTGCCTTATTTGGAGTTTAAAACATGATCAATAAAAGACAGTCATGTCCTAATGCTTAAAAAGCCATGTTCACAGCATGACCAGATAGTGATGATTGATATCCTGCATTGGCGCACCTCTGTATCACCAAGCAGCCCAGCAAGAGGATATGTAAAGGATTTCTTATGCTGTATCAGGGCTGTTCTGAGAACTAAATCAGCTGTTTGTGAGAACAGATACCTTGATTGTCTTAGCAGTAAGCCTGTCTCCACTCAAACTGAATTCTACAGCGTTCTCCAACCGACTTAAAACCACGAACCAATAAACGCTGGTCAATACTTATTTAAGACGTGAACAATTTCGCCATAGCGTTTGTATGTCATAAAAATTCTATCCCACAAACTGAGTAGAATACTCTTTAAAAACAACCATCCAAACTTCATAAGACTACCTAAGATTAAAGATTTTGATAAGCAAAACATATTTCAACATTACAGAACAAAGTCAACTTGAATCGTTTAGAGAGGGTGACTTTGCCAGATGCGTCAAATGTATAATATCTCACAGTAACAAGACACAGTGCTCATCTCAGGTGAAGGTTATGTCGTACCCTGATTAAAGCTTGCTTGTAAACAGGCAACCTGGAACACTGAATTCTGTACAGTATTTTCAATAACCAGTGCCGAGCGTCAACATGGCTCTCAATGCTCCTGTACCAATACATGAAGGTTTAGTGAGCCTGTCACAAAAATAAATAAGATAATTGTTGTCTGGTTTAAAATTATTTCGGTTTACGAATCTACAAACCTAATATCAGAAAACGTTAACAAGTCTCAACTATTTTCAGCGATGAGAAAATTCAAAGGTAGGTGAATATGGGAAGGAGGGTTAAGTGGTATGGACTTTTTTAATTTCATTGTATTTCACCCTTCTGAAAAAGTGTTTGTAAAAAGAAATACTGTTATCATTTTACTTTCATTTTCACACCAAATCTGTAAACCCCAAATAATAAAACAATAATAATTGTAAGATAATACTTCTGAAGGCAACATCATATGAACAAAGCGGAAATACAGTGTAGGTTTTCTTTAAAAAAATAATATTTTTTCGGATAACCATTGGAGAGGCTCCTATGATGCTGGTGTGACATGCCGGTGTGTCAGTGGGTACAAGGTGAACTGACATCAAGAAAAAGTAAATGTCATGTTGAAATTATTTTTGTCATATTTTAGTTCTGATGAGAAAAAACCCTCATTTCTATTGAACATCATAAAATTGAGCAGAGAGTATAAATAAGTATATTTTTTTTCATTTTGAAAACATGTCGACATACTTGTAAAGATGTTTGCACGCTGGTTTAAATAACCCTAAGTTGGTACATGCTTTAGTCTGAGGTACGTGAGCTGCTTGAATAGTGATGATATTAAAGCTAGGCTAAACCCATTCAGTGTGACTACGGCTTAACACATGCCTGTCATCCATCCTTCGATGTACAATACAGCTCCACTGTTTCACGTCCACTACGACCAATCAAGTCCTATCACAACATCATCAACAACACTCACTGGTCTTCTTCAGTCCCTCACGAAAATCTTGCGGACGAATGTTTTCATCCTCCGAAAAATCTCAAAATAGAACTGTCATGGTCACCATGACGACACAACTTGGAACATCCCATCACAGTATCCACCTGGCACCCCTTAACCAAATCCAAAGCACTTTTCATATCACACTGATGGTTCACAGGGAAACTAGAGTTATTTCCCTTGGGCAGTTGAAGCTTTCACCCCTTTGGACTATTCCATTTTATAACAGCTTGAATCCGATCCAAATCCAAACCTGAATGGATTCATCCATCAACCACATGATAGTATTGACATTTATCACATGGTCTACTACCACCCCTACTGTATAATGGAACAGCCCGAGCAAGCACTGAGCATCCTGGGAAGAATTTGAATGAATACTGGTGTAGATCTCACACTGTGGTAGAGTCGGGCTCTACTATGGAGTCTAGAGAGTGATTGTGCTGGATTGGGATAGGATCCGAGATTTTAATCCCTCGTCGGGATTTAGGCGTAACGTCCGAGTCAAATGTCATGCGTAAATCATCCTTTATTTTCCTCCCAAAAGCTCGTCCCAATGAACCCTGGACATAGGAAACAAAGTGAAATGTAGTCTTTGAAGTTAGTAAACATAAACACAAGTGTCAAAACCAGTCATATACAAAAAATAATACATGTTAATTTCTGGGTTAGAATAGGTGTTCATCCCCGCTGTAAAAGGCGACTATGCTTGTTGTAAGAGGCAACTAACAGGGTCAGGTGGTCAGGATCGCTGACTTGGTTGATGCGTGTCATCATATCCCAATTGCTTAGATAGATGCTCATGATGTCAATCACTGGAATGTCTGGTCCAGACTCGATTATTTACAGATTGCCGTTATGTAGCTTGAATATTGCTGAGTGCGGCGTTAAAAAAAATAAAAATAAAATAAAAAATAAAAAATAAATAAATAAATAAATAAATAAATAAATAAATAAATAAATAAATCAAGTCTTCATGTGAGCAAGTGAGTGAGCTGGATTTTACGCCACTTTTAGCAATATTCCAGCAATATCACGGCGGGGGACTACAGAAATGGGCTTCACACATTGTACCCATGTCGGGAATCTAACACAGGCCTTCAGTGTGACGAGCGAACACTTTAACCATGAGACTACCTCGATCACCACCCCAGCATATTTTCAAAGTGAAAAATACAGGGCTGGCTAATATAATCTATAATCTAAATTAGCATTGAATGGAAAAATATTGAGGATAATCAATATGAAATTGTTGTTATTGATAATAACATACATAAACAAATGTGATAAAATAAAGTTTAGATTTACCGAAACTGACTGTCAAAGACGGAGAGCAACTGTGTTTGTTAAATCTCAAATGTCCACAAAGTAATCCATGCATAAACGTGTCGACGATCACTGCTCAAAAGTGGCGTGAAATATGTTGACCTTTTTTGCAACTTTCTTGCATATTTGCTCAAAGTTACTTCTCCAGTATTTATTGATAATTGATGATATTTTGTTAGCGATTATTGATCTGTATGTTCTAAATCAATAGCCAGCCACCACATCAATTGTTCATAATAAAAAATACGAAAGCCAAATTGGATTAGAGTGAGTGAGTGAGATGGGTTTTATGCCACTTTCACTCACATCATGGAAGGACACCAGAACCGGGCTCCACAAAATGTAAAACATATTAACTCAATAATATTTTTTTTTACAAATTTTAACAAAAAAATATATTTGTTTCAAATTTTACATATTTCAGTTGAAGGTTATTTGATGTTCCTGCATACCCTAAAACTTAGTCTGCCTTTTGGGCCGCCGTCGTCCAGCGATGCACTGCGGTAGGAGCGGATGAAGGACCGCCCCACGGACCCTGTCCCGTTGATGCGCATCTTGGTGTTGTTGTTGGGCGTGTCCAGGGCAGCTCTGTGGACAACAGACAAACAGTTACACATCTATCTGGCCATCATCATGTTGCCAGGAGGCGATACATCTTCCTGAGGCAAGGGAGTTAACTGACTGAAAACGTCCACCTTTCCGAACTAGGCTCCAATTGTGGAGTTATATTTGGGCTGGACTGACGAGTCTATGCATAGTCCAATCAAAATTGAGTAACGACATCAGATTCCTAAACAACATGGATTTCAACGTGCAGATTTCAGTTGAATGCAGGATTAGAAAAAGATGTGTACTGTCATACGTTTTTTCATTTGTTGAAAATTAGGACTGACTAAAAATAGGGGGGGGAACTGGTAATTTTTAGAGTTGCCAGTCCACCAGGACTTGCAGTTTTAAATGCCAGCGAGGACACTGATGATGGTGAGTTGTGTGCGTGTGCGTGTGTGTGTGTGTGTGTGTGCATGTACTGATGATGGTGAGTTGTGTGCGTGTGCGTGTGTGTATGCATGTACTGATGATGGTGTGTGTGTGTGTGTGTGTGTGTGTGTGTGTGTGTGTGTGTGTGTGCGCGCGTGTGTGTGCATGCGGGCATGTGTGTGTGTGTGTGTGCATGCAGGCATGTGGGTGTATGTGTGGGTGGGTGGGTGTGCATGTGTGTGTGCGTGTGTGTGCATGTAGGCATCTATCTCTGTGTGTATACACAGATGAGTGTGTCTCCCATCCCACCCACCAAACTGACCTCTTGATACAAACATAGTTAGAAATGACAGAGTGATGTGGAAATTCTTGACACATTTAACAGTATTTCACTCCCAGATGTAATGAAGACTTATTCTGTCCCAGACACCTTATGGGGAGACAACCTTTGGGCACTGGTGACCTATTCTCCTCAGAATTCACAGGAGGAGACAAGCAGGTGACCTATTCTCCTCAGAATCCACATGAGGAGACAAGCAGGTGACCTGTTCTCCTCAGAATCCACATGAGGAGACAAGCAGGTGACCTGTTCTCCTCAGAATCCACATGAGGAGACAAGCAGGTGACCTATTCTCCTCAGAATCCACATGAGACAAGCAGGTGACCTATTCTCCTCAGAATCCACATGAGGAGACAAGCAGGTGACCTATTCTCCTCAGAATCCACATGAGACAAGCAGGTGACCTATTCTCCTCAGAATCCACATGAGGAGACAGGCAGGTGACCTATTCTCCTCAGAATCCACATGAGGAGACAAGCAGGTGACCTATTCTGCTCAGAATCCACATGAGGAGAGAAGCTTGGGGTACTAATGACTTATTCTGCCTTGGAGTGAGTGAGTGAGTTCGGTTTTACGCGGCTTTTAGCAATATTCCAGCAATATAACGGCGGGGGACACCAGAAATGGGCTTCACACATTGTACCCATGTCGGGAATCGAACCCGGGTCTTTGGCGTGACAAGCTAACGCTTTAACCACTAGGCTACCCGACCGCCCCTCTGCCTTGTTACCCATGTGAATGCGTCTTTGTTCACCGTGGCAGCTGAGATCCAGAGTGAGGGACTACTACCAGGCAAACTAGGACATAGAAAGTTAATGAAAACCTTTGTCTTCACTGTCATCATTATTGCACTACACTACAACTGAAAGGACAACACCATGAAAAAAACAAAAAGACTATCTAGCATGAAATTATTACAACGTTCTAAAAAAAACCTGCATCATCCCAAGAGAGTTAACATCATCTCATGGAGGTGATACAGAACACAACAATTCCAAGCATGCTTCCTCGCCTCCCTGCAGCAGTGATTGTTTTGTTAGTTCGTTTGTTGTTTACTGTGAACTCATCAAGCAATAATCACTTATCCTGTTTAATTGGCTTCATGTCCTATGTGTTCTCTGTCCATCGTGTTGTGACAGTATTACCCTCCTGTTGTCAACACATACCTATGTTATTCCACTCATATATACAATCCTCCACCTACCATATATATTCTGTACTATGGCGCTCATTCAGTTTTGCTCGACAACGGTATAAGGATCTATACCGAAACGTTGCTTTTTACAGTATTAGTGAGTGAGTGAGTATGGTTTTATGTCGCTTTTAGCAATATTCCAGCAATATCACGGCGGGGGTCACCAGAAATGGGCTTCACACATTGTACCCATGTCAGGAATCGAACCCGGGTCTTCGACCCGACCGCCCCTTTACAGTATTAAAGAAGTTGTTATCCATAAATTGTGTCTACCTGGTTTGTTATTTAACACCGCACTCAGCACTCAGCACTCAGCACTCGGCGTGGGTGTTTTTTTGGGTTTTTTTTTGGGGGGGGGGGGGTCTTCTCCCCAGGAAATTGTAAAAAAAAAATTTGATAAAAAAAATTGATAAAAAGTTATTTTATGTTGCATTTTAAGATGTTGATGGCAATCAACTGACAAGGAAACAGTCCACACAAATCCATGCCATGCAGGATACAGAAAATCATAATTTCAGTTTCAGTACAGTTTCCTTAGAGCTTTAGAAATGTCAATATGATTGGTGCATTGTTTCCTTAGAGCCTTAGAAATGTCAATATGATTGGTGATTAGTTTTCTTGGAGCATTAGAAATGTCACAATTTGTCTCAATTTATCAATTGATAGCAGGTAAACCACACGGATATTTACAGGAGCCCCAAGTCAATCTATTCCTAGTACATTTTCAGGCTTTTGAAGAGATGCCATTTTAGTAGTAAGTCAGATACACTTTATAATAATAATAATAATAATAATAATAATAATAATAATAGTAGTAGTAGTAGTAGTAGTAGTAGTAGTAGTAGTAGTAGGCCATTTATATTGCGCATATTTCCACACCATACAGGAGCATGCTCGAAGTGCTATTATTACCCCAGTCACTGGATCAGTGTACACTCAAGAATCATTCTCAGCTCCCTGGGGAGTATACAACCCGAGCTGCCTTTTGGGAGCTAGAAGGTTAACAACCTGATTGCCATCTCATCCCACCGGGTACCCATTCACTGCTGGGTGAACAGAGGCACATTTCAAACAAAGTCACATGCCCAGGGAGACGCCACATGTGTGACATGTGCTTCAGATTAGGGCAGAAACGAAGCCCCAGACCACATTCCTATTGATTGCCATTCACATAATCTGATGCATCAATGAGATGATCGTATCCTGATGACGTTATTGAAAACAAATTATAACATGCTCATGACACCACTCCATTAACGTTATTACAATAGTCACCGTCATGTCATGCGTGATAATTCTGGTGATAAATGACAGAGTGGGATATTAATCTCCTTATCTCACACCTTAGTGTTTACACACATGAAACATCCAGTGTTAAAAATTCGTAACACACCTTCATATTTATTACACACTTGTAACAATGGACATTATAAACCAAGCGATACGAGACTTATTCCCTCATCAACCATATACAACAGGGAATTGCAGGGTTAGAGCACAACATGCATTGAAGGATATAAGGATGAACTGAAGGATGAACAAAAGGATGAATAGAAGGATGAACTGAAGGATGAACTAGGCCCATGCAGTATATAACTATGGATGGACAAGAAGAATTGGTACCTCAACAATTTCAGCCCAGCTAAGTAAGACCTGTCATTCAATTAGTGGGGAGAGAAGAAACAACATGTTAATCTCAATTGAACTAAACTAGCATGTCAAAATAGCATCATCCTCGACTCACAGGGTACTTTTACATCCATGTCATAATATTTACCCTGGATCATATACCAGTATTCAGGGGTCTGTTCAAATTTGGAACTTAATATAAATACCATAATCGGTAGGTTATTATCTTGTCTTTTGATATTCAGACATTAAAGCAAAAATAATATTCTTATAGAGCATACAAGATGTGCGAGCATGTTGTGTTATATGCCGTCTTGTACATTATTTCAGAAATATCACTGTCAAGAAAAAGCCAAAAGTGATGACCATCTTAAAAGTTGACCATCTTTGTGAAACCTGACAAAGAAAGGATCCTAATGAGAGCAAATCTGGGATTCAAGCCCTCGATCATGCCTAAGGGAGGCAACTCTGTAAAGTGAATTGCAGAGAATTAAATAGCCCCCTAAAGTATACTATCATGAGGAAGTAATCAGACCATGGATATAAAATGCCCCCATAATCTAACCGGGGCCCAGTTTGACAAAGTGATCTTATCGCTAAGACGATCGTAACTCCCATACTTGAACATAGCCTTACGACAATCGTAGCACCAAGATCAGTTTGTGAAACGGGAGCCTGGTCAATGTCACACCATTGTGACAATGGTCACTGTCAAAAGTGCAAGCAGTTAATATATCTGTTAAAATGGTAATATTGATAATGCAAGATTTACAGATTTAAAAGACGTGCAGAAAAAAAGTATCTTATTTGTTGTAAGTCTGATGTGAAATTAACAAAGTTCATGAATTATAAAGACTTGAGTTTCCCAATTAAACAAATTATTTTTAAGGTCAAAGTAATTATCTCAGCAAAGGCGAGAGGTAGATATTCAAGAAAATGGTACTCCCTTCAAAATGTCTATAAAACTGCAGTTTAAATATTGCCACAGCTCAAGGTGCCGCTCTGTACTTTCCGGTAAACTGAAATGTAACCTGACCCAAATTGGAATACACAAATTAACACTACCTTGACAATACACAACACGGAATCCAGAACAAGCCTATTCTACAATGCACAAAACGGGATCTTCCTGCTCTAAGTTTTGCTGTCCAGTTTTGTGAGTTGTGGAAACGAGGCATCCACTTGCGACAAGCATACACTTCTATAGTCTGGAAGTTAATTTAAGGTACCGACGTTTACTACAATATCTGAAAAACTATTGGACCTACTCCAGTCAAAGTTGGTATGAGATTATTAAACAGTCATACATAACTGGATATTACATTTAAAGACAATCGGTGCATGAATAAAAACTCTGTCTATTTAGCTATCACTATATTTCATCAACAACCAGACCTGTTCGTCACGGGTGGAATGAGCATTCATTGAAACAGCCATCTGCATAATGCTACCCCTGCGTCACAGGGCCATATGACACAGTTGAACCAATCAACTCAACTCAAAAGGGTGCACGGGAATCATGCACGCACGAATACGGTGTTAGCGTTGGGCGTCTCAACGTGCGTGATTCCCATGCACCCTTTCGAGTTGAGTTGATTGGTTCAACTGTGTCCTTCGTCCTTTTCAGATATTGTAGTAAACATCGGTACCTTAAACTACCTTCCAGACTATAAGTAGGGTTAATTTGTGTATTCAGATTTGGTCTTGGGTACATATGTACAGAGAGCCACAGAAGGGCACCTTGAACTCCACAATCACCCATTTCCTATCTGTACAGCACGATAGAGCCCTTCCGCCTGTACGCTTCAAGAGTCCCGACTACAGAGTGATGTACGTACCTAGCTGGCTTGATGAGGGCTTCCAACTCCGTGGCGATGTGTCGACGAAGGTAAGACTTGGACAGGGGGATGCCTAGGGCTGTCGCGAGGGTGTCTGCAGTAAACGACGGCTCCAGCACCATGAGAGCTCCGTGAACACCGCTCTCCCTCAGGTTCTGGACATACTCCTAAAATCAGTGAAACCAGGGCTTGATGTGTGTGTTATTTTCTGTTATTTCCCAGCTATATCATCTCAGGCTGTTAATAACCAAGTTCGGACCAGACAAACATGTGGTTGATATTATAAGTAATGTACTCCTAAAATTAGCATCAGGTAAAACCATCGCACAAACCGAGTCTGACCACCCGATCCAATAATGTCCACGCTCTCAGCGTACAATGACACATGATCCACCAACTCACTGAGCCTGACAAACTAATCCAATACATTCACCCCCAACAAGCAACAGTGAGTCAGTGAGTGAGTGAGTTGAGTTTAACGCCGCTTTCAACAGTATTCCAGTTATATCACGGCGTGTCAGCTTAATGTGGGAGGAAAGCCCGAAATGATGCAGGTCTCGGACGTTTACTACTTCGGTGAAACCCACGAGCATGGGTATGGTGCTGACAAACCTAGAAACATAATCGTTGCGAAACGGGATTCGAACCCACAATCATAGGTTTCTGGCGTGCCCAAGGGACCCAACTCTGCGCAGCAAATCGCGGCACCTTAGACAAGCAACAGAGATATTATAACTCCATGATGGGGAACATTATAAGGGTTTGATTTTCAGCTTGCACAGAGCAAGGAAAGCACCACACACTTTAGCTTTACAAGTCAGATCCGGGTTCAGACCCATGCAGATCTGGGTTCAGACCCATGATTGCCGTAAGAGGCGACTAACGGGATCGGGTGGTACATGTCATCGTATCCTAATTGCGTCAATCGATGCTCATGACATAAATCACTGGCCCAGTCTCGATGATTTACACACTGCCGTCATATAGCTGGAATATTGCTGGGTGCGGCATTTAACAACGAACAAACCAAACTTACCCCAAGTTCTATTGACCGTATCCACTTCATGACCTTGTCGTTGGACCACACCAGGGGGTCGGTGTTGTTGTCCTCACACTGCGACCGTCTCTCTGTTAACAACTGAAACACAACATCAACGTTAGTCCAGGGTTTAATGCTGCCCAAATGTGAACAGATTTCAGCAGATCCAGGCAGAGGTAAGGAACACCACTCTTCATAGGGAATTGAGAGGTCTTTCACTTATTTCATGTATTAGGTATGTCAGGGCAACAGCATATATCACTGCAACTGCCTCAGGAAAATGCAACAACAACAAAATAAATTGAAAAGTACAAAAACATAAAAACACAATCACAATTAATTCCATGGTCAAGCCTTGAGTGTGTGTGAGTGTGTATGGTTTTACACCGTTTTTAGCAATATTCCAGCAATATCACAGCGGGGGACACCAGAAATGGGCTTCACACAACGTACCCATGTCGGGAATCGAACCCGGGTCTTCGGCGTGACGAGCGAACGCTTTAACCAATAGGCTACCCAACCACCCCCGGTCAAGCCTTGAAAACCAAACACACATGTTGCACTGGTATGCACACGAACCTCTTTATCAAAATTGAGCAGCCGTAGTAATTCCACGGCGTGTAGAATACTGGCTTGGTGAAACTTGCGATGGACACTAAAATGTTTTTCTAGGTCCTTCTTGGACAGCTGGTTGAGAAGTCTGCCGTCTGCCAGCTGGGATTCAAACATGGCCGCGTGTTGAGGGAGGCCCAGGTCGGGGATCCATCGGTGAGACACCCACGTGTGGTCGATGTTTGCTGCCTTCGAATATTTTCTGTTGAGACAAATACATTCAACATTAGCTGACATGATTGACGATGGAAACGCTTAAGTCTACCAACCTAACTTGTCTCTTGACACCATTTCCAGTAGATATCAGAGTTAACTTATGGACTTATATATACACAGACTAGTGTCTAAAGTTTAATGAAGCACTCAGCAATATTCAAAATTGGATTGATGAGCAAAAACTTTGCTTGTTGTTCCAACACACACGTGAAAGAAGTGATGTTTTCCCGCCTTGCGCATGCGCAGATGCAGTTTGACAAGGGATGGGGTTTACCTCAAGACTATGGGATAATTGGCAGTGAAGAGGACGTCTGTTGAAAAAATCTAAAGATTTTATAGTGTGATTATTGCCAAAATGGGAATTTGTGGCTATGATGTAATAGAGGTAGGATATTCGCAGGAATTATCAGAGTTAACATATGGACTTATATATATATAGACTAGTGTCTAAAGTTTAATGAAGCACTCAGCAATTTTCCAGCTATATGACAGCGGTCTGTAAATAATGGAGTCTGGACCAGACAATCCAGTGATTGACATCATGAGCATCGATCCATGCAATTGGGATACGATGACATGCATCAACCAAGTCTGTGAACCTGACAACCCGATCGTGTTAGTTGTCTCTTACGACAAGTAGTCGCCTCAACAGCAAATATGGGTTGATGAAGACCTATTCTACCCGGAATCTTCACGAGTTCGTCTGTAAATAACCAATTCTGAACCAGACAAACCAGTGATTGATACTTTGAGCAATGATTCACACTGTCGGAGTACAATGACCTGCAATCAACCAAGTCATGAGCTTGACCACCCGATACATTTGGGTGCCTCTTATGACAAGCCACATGAAGGAGTATGAAGTGTTCTGCCCTGACATCCCCAGGCTGTTCCCTGTTGCTGATGGTGACTTACATCTCTCCTGGGTCGCGCTGCTCCTCGATGGCTAGCCGCAGCTTCCGCCGGTGTATACTGTTGGTGATGCCGAGGGCGGCCCCCAGGTCCGAGTCACTCAGTCCCAGAAGTACCTGCACATAGAGAGTAATTGTAGCGGCCATAAAATTTCCCAGTCCCGTGATGGGATTCGAACCACGGACCTTCTGATCAGAGGTCGGACGCCATGTCCACATGACCAAAGAGGTTAACCCCGTCAGCAAGCTGACAAGGTAAGGATGTCATCTGTCGGATGACTCCACGCTATGCTACATAATGCTTATTGTCCGAAGAAATCCCTTTATTTTAGACTCATGAAGCAAGCACTTGCTTGACAACGTTGTTAGAATCTACAGTGAAACATCACTACAATTATCATGAAGTAATTGATCATACAAACTATCTTTTCATCAGTTAAATATCCAACATCTAATTTGATGGTGGCCTGTAAATGATCCAGTGAGTGGGTACAATGTTAATCAACCAGTCACAAGCCTGACCACCTAATCCATTCAGTTAATTCTTATGACCAGCATAGGTCACTTGGGGACTATTCTAATCCAGAATCGCAAAGTATCATGTTTGTTTTTTGTTTAACACCACACTCGGCTATATTCCAGCTATATGATGGCAGTCTGTAAATAAACGAGTCTGGGCCAGACAATCCAGTGATTGACATCATCATCATCAATCCATGCAAATGGTATACAATGACATGCATCAAACAAGTCAACAAGCCTGATCACCCGATCCTATTAGTCGCCTCTTACGACAAGCATAATCGCCCTTTATGGCAAGCATGGGTTGCTGAAGACCTATTCTAATCTGGATCTTAACGGGTCGTCAATTCTTAAGACAAGCATAGGTCACTGGTCGCCTACACTGATCCCGAATCCCAAAGGTCCTGTATGTAGGAAGAAATCCCGTACCTTCCCACTCTTGATGTTCTCAGCACACATCTTCCCATACATGGGCATGGAGAGTGAGATCTCGAGCCAGGCCAGCACCTGATTGGCCTTCCAGTTGGTCATGTGGACTCCCTTGAGGCCGTTCACCAGGGCCAGCTTCTCCTGGTAGTTGTCAGGGCTCAGCAGGGCAAGCTTCGGGTGACCCGGGTCTGTACACCAAAACAATCGACACTTGATAAAGGCACTGACTTCGTCAAAAAAATATACTTTGTTGATGTTCGCTGATGTTTTTAGCCAACAACAATGATTTATAAGGTGCTTTATTTGCTGGTCCACAGGAATTACCGGTGCAAGCCTAATTGTACCAGTAAAAAACTTTATTATATGTATCAACTTTAATTACTGGTTAACTGGAATGCTGTAAAGGATTGCTCTCATCTTGCATTTGCCATTCATTCTTAAACGAATGGGTACAAGTTTCATGAAAACATGCTACTTCATATGCTACAAGAAGTTGAAAAATTACTATAATTAATCACTCATTTCATGTCAGGTATTAACTACAGTCATATGAAAAAATCCAGTGTTCTTTAACTGAAAATATCTCAGAACAGTTTCCTTTCAGAGACTTAATGTTAGTCCATGAGCGTACCATCAAAGGTCTCGCCGTGTGGCAGAGCGATGGACCTTCGTAGTCTCCCCTTGCTAAACATGCGTGTGAGGGAGCCGAACACGGGGATGCGGTGCCTCTTCTTGGTGTCGTGCTCTGGCAGCTCGTGACTTGTGTTGAGCAGTTTGTTGGGGTTGGTGAAGGAGTTGACATTCGAGTCATGACTAGGTGTGCTCGTCTTCACTGAAAACATCACAGATTTGCATAAACGTACTGGCGCTTCATGTTGCCAAGGGACTGACGATAACTAGGTGTGCTCGTCTTTACTGAAACATCACAGATTTGCATAAACGTAGTGGCGCTTCATGTCGCCAAGGGACTGACGATAACTAGGTGTGCTCGTCTTTACTGAAAACATCACAGATTTGCATATATGTATTGGCGTTTCATGTCACCAAGGGACTCGTCTAGACGTCCCACATGACAGATCTGTACACTTACCTGAGAAGCTGTCATCCCGGGACACGTCAGACTGTGACATGGTTTCATACGGAGGCAGTTCCTCGCTGGCGATGGTGCTGGCGACGCTGTGGGTGGTGTGATCCGCCTCCGATGCACTCGACGACTTGTTGTGGTCAACAGGATGAGTCTTCAACTGTGAGTGAGTGAGTGAGTGAGTGAGTGAGTGAGTGAGTGAGTGAGTGAGTGAGTGAGTGAGTGAGTGAGTGAGTGAGTGAGTGAGTGAGTGAGTGAGTGAGCGAGCGAGCGAGCGAGTTGGGTTTTACGCCGCTTTTTGCAATATTCCAGCAATATCACGGTGGGGAACACCAGAGTGAGCTGACTTCACATATTGTACCCATGTGGGGAATCAAACCGGGGTCTTTGGCATGACAAGCATATGCTTTAACCACTACACTACCCCAACGCCCCAGTTATGGCCTGAAGAACCACATGGCTCAGAATGCTTGTTTGTTGTGTTTGTCACACTCAGACATATTCCAGCTATATGACACCCCCCAACAATTAGCAAATTCATTAAAAGGTTGAGAGTAAGGATATTTGTATAGCAACAAACAAGAATATGCTAGTAAACGTGTAAACAACATTATAGATATTTATCTTATTCACTTAGGCCATTTGTTTTAAGTTAGTCTGCCCTAATCTAAAGGCTGTCTTAACATAGCTTCAGTATGACACATAATACAACAAATGATTTGTTTGTTTGTTTTGTTGTTTAATGCCGTACTCAGCAATATTCCAGCTATATGACAGCGGTCTGTACATAATCGAAAATCCAGTGATTGACATCATGAGCATTGATCCACGCAATTGGGATACCATAACATGCATCAATGAAGTCAGCGAGCCTGACCACCCGATCCCGTTAGTGGCCTCTTACGACAAGCATAGTCGCCTCTTACGGCAAGAATGGGTTGCTGAAGACCCATTCTACCCGGGATCTTCACGGGTCATGAAACAAACTGGCAAGACTACAGTGAGTGCATTTAGCAATATTCCAGCAAATCACGCAGGGCACACCAGAAACATCACACATGTGGGAAAACGAACCTAGGTCCCAGACCCCAGAGAATAAATTGATAAAGGGGTCAAGCTCAGATCTAGAACGACTTCCCAAGTCTAGATTGCCTTAGCTCTAGGCTCCCTGAAATTAAGGATCGTTCTGGCCTCCATCTGGTTTACCGTATTCGACGTAATAAGCGCCCCGCTTCAATAAGCGCCCACGGCGATATTTGTTAATATATTGGCGAGTGAACAATACCAATTAGCACCCCTTCCGATTGATCAATGTACACAACACTTATTTATTCGCGTATAATACGCACTCGTGTGTTATATGCACCCTTAATTATGGGCAATTAAATTCTGGAAAAATGTATCTCTCGCATATAAACATTTCAGGCTGTCAGCATAAACCACGAAATGTATCTTTCAACTCTGTTTTTTTTTCACCAAAATAATATTCTAATAAGAGCCCCCTATTTCCAATTTTGACAGCGCCCTGGGCGCTTATAAGTGGAATACGGTATATTTATTTTATTTTGCAGATATTTATTATCAAATAAGATAATTAATTTCTGGTACTGAATGTGAGTCTGGTCTTAATCCTGAACCCCTAGAATACTCCCACGGGAGGCGCACCTCTGCTAGTTCCACCTCCAGCTTCTTGAGAGCCTGGTCCTTGTTGTCGCACTGTGACCGCAGGTTGACTGCACGCTCGGCTGCCTCCTGGGCCTTCTTGATGATCCGCCACTTCTCCCGCTCACAATCCTCCTTCTCCATGGCAAGCTGGAGGTCAAGGCATGGCACAATTAGTACATGCAGGCTACTCACACTATGGCAGAACAAAAGGCTCTCTCATTCAGGTGAGTGAGTGAGTTGGGTTTATCGCCGCTTTTAACAGTATTCCAGTTATTTTGCGGCGTTGAAACCCACGAGCACGGGTATGGTGCTGACAAACCTAGAAACATAATCGGGGCGAACCGGGATTCGAACCCACAATCATAGGTTTCTGGCGTGCCCAAGGGACGCAACTCTGCACAGCGAATCGCGGCGCCTTAGACGACTGGGCCACCCGTGCCCCCTTTACAATCGGGGCTCTCTCATACAGGCCCTGACAATTATCTGGAAGGTTGTAAGCAAATATACATGAAAACAAGTACTAGTCTGGACTAATGCTGATTTTTATAGCGCTGACCCACTGAGATACAGTGCCACCGTTTAACATGAATACCCCACTCAGACATAGCATACAGAGCCGACCAGTAATTGTTTTAGCCCCTGAATGTCGAGCGCTAGACAGGGTAACAAGAAGTACCATCTTTTAACATCTTTTGACATCTTTTGGTATGACATGGCCAGGGATCGAACCCCAGACCAGCTGCTCTCCGGGCGGACGCTGGACCACGGAGGCAGTCTAATCTAACTGACCACGGATCTTCTACGGACCAAGGATCACTCCATTGAGTGAGGGAATAAAATCTCAGCAGAATTCCAACTCGAGACACCAGTATTAGGCTTCTCACATTGTACCACTTTATGGATTCAAAACCACTGTTGCATTAGAAGCCAACGGTCTATCCACTAGCCCACTACCTGGACATGGCTGCCCCACCTGTTTGATGGTCTGATCACTCTCGTGGACGCGCTGCTCGTAGTTGCGGATGAAGTCTCTCAGCTCGGACTCCTTGTCCTCCAGCGTTGTGTACAGCTGCTTCATCTGGTTCAGGAGGTCAAGCTTCTCGCCCTTCAGCCGCTTCCGGTCTGCCTTCATTGCTGAAACATAACATGAAACACATGACACAACACTTGTCACAAGTCTTCATCGCTGAAACACCAAAATTGCTCACTGCTGAAACACAATAACACTACAACACTCACAGCTGAAACACAATAACACTACAACACTCACAGCTGAAACACAATAACACTACAACACTCACAGCTGAAACACAATAATACAACACTAAAATTATCACTGAAACTTTACAGATGTATGATGAAGAAATGAGAAACTCCCAGTTTGTTTGTTTATCAGCAATACTCCAGCTATATGACGGCGGTCTGTAAATATTCAAGTCTGGACCAGACAATCCAGTGATTGACATCGTGAACATCAATCTACAATTGGGATACGATGATATACATCAACCATGTCAGCGAGCCTGACAACCCGATCCTGTTAGTTGCCTCTTACGACAAGCATGGTCACCTCTTATGGCAAGCATGGGTTGCTGAAGACAGATTCTCTACCCAGGTCTTCACGGGTCGAGAAAATCTCAGAATGTAAGCAATCAGCCATACAATTTCTGAAATAACCGAGGGGCGTGATGAAGAAACATGGCTTTCTTTTTTAAAATTGAAACATCTTCATGGCTCCAGCCTTTTTAGCACTCATCAACTCATCAAGCAATACAGATATAATGTACAAACTTTTGTCTGAGACAAGGTATACGACTGCAGAGACAAAACAAGGACATAAGGTCAAGAAAAAAATGTTCAGTGGATTTCTTAAAATAAAACTGAAAAGATTCTGGGTCAGAATATGATACCGTAAACTACGTTTATAACAAACACACTTATAACGAACTGGCAGATATAACGAACTGTTTTTTTGGTCCAAGCCATATGCTGTATATATGTTTTTAACTAACTATGGTTACAATGAACTAAAATTAGTGGTCCCGTTGAGTTCGTTATAATCGTAGTTTGGATTGTTAGCAGAGCTCCAGATAAGCTTTTGGTGTTGTGGGTATTTTACACATGCATTTTAAAATCATTGGGTATCAGTAATATATATTCTATCAAGAAAGTGTGATGGCAAATGATCATGATGTAACTGTCATCATGGAGTAGGCAAGGTTGACGGAATGTCCATTTATAATTTCAAAATAAGTTGCTGATTTGCTAATCGAATACGCAGGGTTACTTCACAATATTTTGATGATACACACAAGTTATATTTTTGTACCGTATCTGTAATGTTCGTTGCATATTTGATACACTTGGATTTTATTTTACTGCGTATTTCTGCATTTCTGATGCGTATTTTACGCAGGTTCGCAGCTTATCTGGAGCTCTGGTTAGTCAGTCCTGAAATTGCACTGGCACAAGCAACACGTGACAAGCCAGCGATTGTATAATAGCTAGTGCCTTGTAACACCAGTCAACAAACAGCAGTCCACGTAGGGGGGAAACAAACATACCACATCAACACAAAAACAAGAAATCCCTATTTAGATTCCTGATCAAAGCTGGAAGGCAGTGTGATTCAAAAAGGGACATAACTCCGGCTCTCCTAATCCCATGCGGCAGCTACATGTGTAGGGCAGACTGCTGGCAGGCTTCGGAACAACCTGTCTTCAGGGAGGTGTTATTTCAGGCAGACACATACCAGGCAACACTCTGGCACTGCTAGGTACACATGTTTGCCACTGGGATTTCTTCTTGGTGATAAATTGAAAGCAGCGCTGCCGAAATCACTGTTACTTTATCTCACGTTTATCACGTTAGAAGGGTTGCAGGATGCACTGAAAGGAAATCATTTCACAGATTTCCCAAAGAAATATTCATCAGTGCAGAAAGTTGACATGTGTTTGTAATAAACATGCATTTGGTTATTGTGAGAGGAAATGTTTCGGATTTATTCACTGCTTTCAACTAATTACTTTCTTCGGAAATGAGCCGGTTTTAGATACAAAGATTTATTTATTTAAACAATTATCTTAAATATGACATATGTACCTCATATAACAGGGACCATAATGTAGTGAGTGAGTGGGTATGGTTTTACGCCACTTTTAGCAATATTCCAGCAATTCCACGGCGGGGGACACCAGAAATGGGCTTCACACCATAATGTAGAACCTTCTAATATGGCATATATACACCTTGTGCCAAGGAATATTACATATGTACACCTCCCAGCAGGGAATGTGACATAGATACTTTGTAATAAGGAATATTACATATGTACATCTGTAATATGGAATGTGCCATGTTCACCTTGTAAGAAGCAATATTACATATGTATACACTAACAGGGGATTTGACATATATACACCGGGGATATGACATATATTCACCTTACAAGCAATATTACATATGTATACACCTAACAGGGGATATGACATATATACACCGGGGATATGACATATATACACCTTACAAGGCATATTACATATGCACCCCCTTTACTTGGAATATGACATATATACACCTTCTAACAGGGAATGACATTATAAATTGAGACCTCATGTTGAAGATGCAACTCAAGTTCCACAAGTTTATTTTCAGCGATAGATCTGACCAGTATTTCCACTGATGAGGTGTACTGCATGTCTGTCCTGGAACAGGTATCTGGTGTTTATTTACAACAGATAGAATCTATTGGCGCATGTGCTGACATTTTCTGTGGTGAAACGAAACAACCTTCTCTCCACAGCGCCATCTGTGGTCCGCGATCACCTTACCAGGGCCATAACTCGGAGTCTCCGGGGAATCCAGTCCATTACTGGGAAATGGGAGATGTTCTTTACATCTTTCAATAGGATGAGACAGAAGAATAAGAAGTCGGGTTACTATGGGAGAGAAATATTCGGTTCAGTCTACTCAGGGAGCACAATGTGGAGATCGTAAAATGTCTGGAAGGAATTGGGTTGACCACATCTGCCAGTGCTTGGATGATGTGACTGAAAAAAGATTTCTTAACTAGATTTCCCTGATGACTGTAAAACCTTTGAGACAAATATCCAGAATACTCCATTGTAAGTGTTTACAAAAATAAACTGTGATGTTTTCTTCAAGTTAATCTAAGCTGACACATTGTATAGGGTAAAAACACTTTTTGCACTCCATTCTTTCATATTTTAGAATTAATATTAACGTGTTAACATCCTTGACCATGTTGATGGATCATTTGTGTAAAGCAAAGGGAGACAAGTTTCATTTCAAAGGGGACAAAACTCACATCAAAGTGCTTTCTTGGCCCTGTTGAAGCATTATTTGTGTAAAAAAGGGACACAACTTTCATTTCAAGGGGGAGACAACTCACCTTGAAGTGTTTATATGGCCATGTTGATGCATTATTTGTGTAAAACAAAGGGACACAAGAAGTTTTATTTCAAGGGGGAGACAACTCACCTTGAAGTCTTTATATTTGGCCCTGTTGATGCATTATTTGTGTAAAAAAAAGGGACACAACTTTCATTTCAAGGGGGAGACAACTGACCTTGAAGTGCTTCCTTGGCCCTGTTGACCTCCTGGCGGGTCTGGATGAGCTCCAGCTTGAGCTCCCCATAGCTTGGTTGTTCACTGCTAACTGCCTTCGCCAGCTTCAGCTCCTGAACCTCCCTCGTGAGAGACTTGACCGCTGCCTCCAGGCGGAGGTTCTCCTCCTTCATCTTCGTCAACTCATTCTCCTCGTCCGACTTGTGCCGCAGGCAGTCTGACAGGACAAGTACATATGCAGTTTTTCATGACAGCTCACTTGTACAGAGGTGATTTGTGGCTTCGGAAACATCAGTCATTATATACTGCAATACACTTTGCAAATGATATGTATTGCAATATTTTTTCTGTGTTCTCGTATATAGGGTAATCACTTGTATTGTTTAAGCTACAATTTACACTGAAATTCATTCATAAATGATGTTTCCCCTCAAAATTTATTGACAAAAATGCAAAAATGGGGAAGTGATTTTTCTTTCACATTGTTATCTCCCCTGTATCCATGACTACAAATTGGCGGTGACTGACCATGCTGAGTAATATTTACTTGAGTAGAAAATAGAATCTGCACATACAATCAGTGTCAATCGCTGTCAAACACTTTGGCTCCCAATATCACAATACATATTGCTATGAAGATACCTGTACCGCAATACATTGCAATGCAATTTCTTTGCCAATACACAGCCCTATCAGTAAGAGGGGTTTCCGCTGCTTTTAGTGTCATTCCAGGAATAAGGATGCAACCTAACCTCAACCAATCACTAGCCCAAATAGTGATAGCATATGCGGATACCATTTACAAAAACCTGGAATTCTACAGGCCAAAGGATATCTTTAACATTAGACGGACTCGAGCTAGCAGGCTGTGCCAAGTTGCATGCCTGAAGAATGGGTCGGACTCACTGTACCATGCATGGAATCAAACAGGGTCTGAGTGAGTGAGTGAATATGGTTTTATGCCACTTTTAGCAATATTCCAGCAATATCACGGCGGGGGACACCTGGAGAAATGGGCTTCACACATTGTACCCATGTCGGGAATTGAACCCGGGTCTTCGGCGTTACGATCGAACGCTTTAACCACTAGGCTACCCGACCGCCAAACGGTCTGATGAACATCGCCATGACAAGTCCACACATTGACCACCAGGCTAGCAAACAGTCCCTGTTTTATTACCTACGAGGGCAAACATATCGGGGTTCATAAAAATTATATGTGCCCAAGGGTCATATCATGTCACGTCAATAAATATATATACCGTATTCAAAGTAATAAGTGCCCAGGGCACTCTCCAAATTAGAAATAAGGGGTTCTTATTAGAATATTATTTGGGTGAAAAACAAAAAAAGTTGAAAGATCGTAAATTTCGTGCTTTATGCTGACAGCCTGAAATGTTTATATACGAGTACGTATTATACACGAATAAATAAGTCTTGTGTACATTGATCAATCAGAAGGGGTGCTAATTGGAATTGTTCACTAGCCATTACATTAGCAAATATCGCCGTGGGAGCTTATTAGAACAGGGGACTTATTATGTTGAATACAGTATAAATATTTCCAGTAATCTTCAGAGCCTTGAGTTACTGAGGTAATGTAATGTTTTGCCTTCTGTCCCTTAATATCAGAATGTTCAACACCCCGCACTGCCATCGTAGAAATTATAAAACGATGAAATTACCATCTTTAAAACCTTCAGACCAAGGAAGCTTCGACAAATGTGGAACTTGTATTCCTTAGACAGGAAAGATTTCAAAAACAAACTTGAATTTTCTGCATACAATGTATTTGACATTATGACAGCATTCTAGTGGTGTTAACATAATGTGTTATGCATGTCTGGCAACAATTCCAGATCCAGCAAGTACCCAGTACCTTTCAGTGATGGGATCATTAAGTCAGCATAATGCCCCGGAATTGTCATGGAATCAAACTTACTGTCACTCTCGGATTGCGTGGCCTTCTCCACCTTGAGATCGTTGGTGAGCGTAATCTGTGACAGCCTCTTGTTGGTATCCGCCAGCTCTGCTCGCAGTACGTTAACCTCTTGGTTTGCTGCTTGGATTGATCCGTCAATCTTCACTGCAAGTTGCCGATTATCATCAACCATTTTCCGAAATTTTGACTGAGCATCTATAAGCAGCCCACGGATCAAAACCATGGAGGACTTGAGTGTTTCTCGTTCCCGTGGTGACAGGTCCTTTTCAAGGTCAAGGTCGACATTATTCTGTGCGAAGATGTATTGCACGATCTGGTCATTCAGCGAGTCCAAGGATTGAATGGCTGCAAAACAAAAGAATCAAATGAAATTGACGCTGAATGAATTCTATGACCTGATTTACACTGCAACTAAACAGATCAGGTTCATATCATTGAACTGTCAGACCTGCCATAATTACCTGCTATAGGCTTTCTAACAAACACATTTCAGAATTAAATACAGGTTTGGGAAAATCAATCCATTTAGCCATATGACATAATGTAATCTGTAGAAGTGTCAAAATATCCAGGCATCAAGATATCTGGCACAATTGCAATATATATTCAGTAAGAGGATTGTTTACAGCCAGTTTAATTTGTAACAACAAACAAACAAAAAACTTCAATACACCTGTCTCCTGTACTCAAATAACACACCTGTGCTCACCAACCATGAATAACTGTCATAGCTTACCGTATTCGACGTAATAAGCGCCCCGCTCTAATAAGCGCCCACGGCGATATTTACTAATTTATTGGCAAGTGAACAATCCCAATTAGCACCCCTTCCGATTGATCAATGTACACAAGACTTATTTATTCGTGTATAATACGCACTCGTGTGATATATGCACCCTTAATTATGGGCAATTAAATTCTGGAAAATATATCTGCCGTGTATAATACGCACATACTTTTCTTTTGTATCATTTCGGGCTGTCAGCATCAACCACGAAATTTACGATCTTTTAATTCTGTTTTTTCTCTCACTAAAATTATATTCTAATAAGAGCCCCCTATTTCTAATTTTGAGAGTGCCCTGGGCGCCTATTACGTCGAATACGGTATTGTTATTTATTGATTAGATCATATCTTTCAGGATAACCCACCGTTATTGTCCATATATCTTTCTAATTCTTACATACATTTCCTCGCGATATGAATCGAAACACTATAAATACATTGTTAATCAACAAATCTATCTCCTTACACAAGGTCAGCTTGACCTGATGGATCTATCAAAGCCATCCCAGCACAAGCTGCAGGCAAATTTAGTTGCCAGAGCACACGACTCAATATGCAGTGTAACATATGTATGAAACATATTCTGTTCTCTTGATGGTTTCGTTCCTTGTGTGAATGCATATCTACTCTATCTTTCATAGGGATATATTTATCTTTCCATGATACTCAAAACTTACTCTCGTGTGTCTAGTGTATACTAAAATAGAATAACATACCTGATTAACCTATCAAAAGATGAGTAGTATAAAAACCACCTTTTTGAAAAGCTGTATTCTTTTCCATTAGTTAACTCTTAGATTCCGAGTCACGAAGAATATGCACAGCAACCTTAGGGTTAAAGGGACCAAGGAGTACTTGAAGTTTACTGGTGTGGGATCTTAATCTAGACCCTCTAAATTATGTTTCTAAAATTAGACATGGTCATATTGACTCGTACTTTATGAAGAACACTGGTATGCACATATTTATTTCGGATATGTAGCCCATCCGGTCCATAATTCACAAACAATTCACTAACAATCTATTGATGAAAAGTCTGCTTTCATACATTCAATACATTATACTATCAATAAAAATCATCAAATGCTATTAATTCATATCATAGTGCTTACTTACCCAGTGCTTTCTCATATTGAAACCTTAAAAAATGCATGCACCTAGTTTCCATGCACGCTTGTTATTACAAAGTTTTTTTAATACTGTTTAACACTGACATAATTGTTCTGCAATTGTGACACAGTAAGAAAAAAATCAAGGATCATTATCACAACCCAAATGTTGAAAAATAAAATATATGGGGTCCTGAAAAAGCTGGGCAACATTATTTATCTTCCGCAGCCAAAGACGAAGGCCCTCGATTCATGACACTGTCATGTGAACATATGATATCATGAAAATGTCACATTAAACAAATATATTAAATATTGGCAGTGTTAAATCTAGGCAATATTACATTCTTTTAATCCTTGATGCCAAACCATTTTATCACATTTCTTTATTGTTATGATCAAACATCAGTAGAGGGAGAGGCTGTTGTGGGAATCATATTTCAGAAAAGTAAAAAATGTCCATCCCTACGATCCACATTTTTACATGTTCCACGATAGACACTTCCCTCAAACCAAACCACAGCCACAATCTTCACAGTTAAGTTATATTTTCATACCATTTTTGTCATACAAAGCTCAAGGTTTGAACGCGGGAATATTTATACATTAATCCACTCTGTTGACAAATCCACAGCCACAAGATCCTTGACTAAACACACTGCCGAGGCTTACCCTATCAAATATGTGGCCTTGACCTTCACCTCCTGTCACTACAATCGGAATCTACACATGTTCATACTACAGAAATAGAGCATTTACAAGATAGTGGCACTCTGCCTTAGAACAACTGCAGATGGTATTATATCCCAAAACACTGGCAATAAACAATAGGGCTTTCTGATGACATGTTTCAGAGCACCAGATCTTCATGGAATATCAAACAAAGCCAAGGTGTTAAACGGTGCTTCCCTATTAAGATATTCGTGATCTTAAAGCAAAGTGAATTTGGAATCACCATATTTCAGTAATTTTACAGTGTGTTGGCTTAATGAATAAGTGAGTGTGTATTTTTTGTGTTCTCCGCCATGATATTGCTGAAATATTGCTATGAGCGGCGTAAAACCATATTCACTCACTCACTCACTCTTACTAAAAAGGACAATGTGATGTAGCCTCGTGGTTAAAGTGGTTGCTCGTCATGCCGAGGACCCGGGTTCGATTCCCCACTGTGATATTTCTGGAATATTGCTAAAAACCATACTCACTCACTCAAAAGTAAAATGACATGTTTGGTGTTTTTAATTTCCTTTCATCAAAATGCAATCTTGATGAACTCTACTCAAGAAAATTAATTTATCCAAAACTACAAAACCTGGGGTTCATATATACCTGCTCAGAGGCACATATTCGGCCCCAAGGCTGCAGACAATGTCAGTACACCCGTGAAGATTCCGGGATAGAATAGGTCTTCAGCAACCCATACTTGCCATAAAAGGCAACTATGCTTGTCGTAAAAGGCGACTAACCGGATCGGGTGGTCAGGCTCGCTGACTTGGTTGATGCATGTCAACGATCCCAATTGCGTGGATCGATGCTCATGATGTCAATCACTGGATTGTCTGGTCCAGACTCGATTATTTACAGACCTCCTTCATATAGCTGTAATATTGCTGAGTGCGGCGTTAAACAACAAACAAACAAATTCCCAATTGGAACAAAAGATTACTAAGTCATGTTGTAGTTGTGATGATGGATGCCAAGAGCTCTAAGTCTGGAACCCTTAATAAAGCCCTGGTGATAATATATTGACATACTGAAGCAACAAAAATCATCCTCCTACACTAATATTCAGGCTCTAATGACGAAAAGATCCTATTATTGACCATCAGTAGCAACATCAATTTTGAGAAATGGCAGAATCCATCCAACAAACACCAGATCTCTATCAATTTCATAAACTGCTATGGAAAACCATCAAGTCTTGATACATATCGCTCCTCCCATCCATCACACAGCGGGATGCTGCCAGTTGGGCAATATCAGTTCGTAATGCCCCAGCACAGGCGCGATAACTACAGAACAAGACAAATATCAACTCCAATCACTTCAATTGATACCTGTTTTATAGGATTCAGCCTGGGGTTGATATTGTGCAGATTATTCTGTAAGGATAAATGACATAGGTAACCTTATCCAAGACTACGAACTCAGAAAGGACTAATGACATTTCCTGTGGATTACCACTCAGAGAAAAGTAAAATTGAGGGACTAGTGACCACTTTTACCATATGTAGATGGCAACTGTAGCACTAGCAGATCAAATTTGCAGTTTAGTGAAAACAAACAAATATAATTTCTAATCTTGTTTTGTAATAGTTTGAATAGGCTATTTCAATGCAAATTTTTCAACTTTCTATGACGCAACTTCGGATTTAATTATTCAACTACATTTATCATATAATGGATGGTGATAAACAAATCTGATAGACATGCAAATCAGGTTATCTTGGAGGAACAAGAATAATCTCCATACTTCGATGCAATGCCTACTTGCTCAATAAACTAACGACTAACATTCTCATTAAGTTTAAATAAGGGTTGCCCAATGTGAGTCTTGCAAAATACAATGACAGTTAACTACGTTTATAACAAACACGGTTATAACGAACTGACGGATATAACGAACTGTTCCTTTTGCCCAGGCCATTTGCTGTGTATATAAATGCTAATAATGAACTACAGTTATAACAAACTATTAATGCTCCCTTTAAATTCGTTATAACCATAGTTTACAGTATTGATTTCTAATGCAGGATATTTACAATACAGGAAAAGACTTAGATAACAATCCCTATGTGTCTGCCGTGATAATTCAGTCTGGGAAAGCAACCCTTCCAAAGATAACTCCACGCTGACATATTTTGCTGGCTCAGCATATTTTCACACCACCACTAGACTTGACATTGGGCTTCCCCTGGGCATGATACAGCCATTATTCGAACACAATCGTAAAGGTGTGCTTAAACTTTCTATACAAACACTGTGCCTTCAGACATTTTTTTGACACATTTACGTTGCCAGAAACCTGTCGCCATCCAAGTGGAAAACATGAATCATTCGCAACAAAACAAGGACAGCTTTACTGTGGTATCAATTCCACAAACCTACAGTGTCGTTTCTGTCATATTTATCGGATCACAGTCAGTAATTTTTGTCACTGCATGACACAAACTGTTGTTAACAGCTAGGAATTATCTACATCGGGTGTAATTGAGCGTTTTATGGTTATTTCTTTGTTGATGGTCTAGGCTGAGTCATAGTAGACCTGGCTAGTATATATATGGGAGGAAATCATTGTGTATGTTGCAGTCATTACTCTCAGGGAGGCCCCAACGATTTGACAGTCCATCAAACTCAAGTTAAAGACTACTTTCTCAATCCTGTTTGTTGTTAAATGCTGAACTCTGCAATATTTCACACGACTAGACCCTGGTGAATTGGCAGTAATTA